TGCATTCTTAAAGTCTTATATGTTGAATTGAACTATGTGATCTATTCAAAGCCTCCCAGTCAGTGCTGTTCTCCATGCCTGTCTGACTGTACATGATGTTATTAGCACAAACACTTTAAAGGTATTATTTAGGACTTCAGCAATAATACAGACAGCAATGTAGTTAGCAATAAAACAGTTTAATCGGGAATTAACAAACAACAAACAAACATCTGTGTCCTATTTTTTGTCACACAGGAAAGAAGCATCAATATCTGATGAGAACTTATTAGAGACTTATTTCCTTTTTGGGGTTTTTTCATTAGGAGATGAATATCTCTAACAAGTTGATTTGTTCACATTTTCACATCTTCATTTTTAAGTGAAATGTGCATTTTGAGTTTATACACTATATGCATATAAGGAGCTTTATCACCAATGATAACTACCCTCATAAACACAACATGCATACAGCATTCAAATGGATTTAAACTGCAGTAGCTGCATAAATGAGGACCACTGATCAAACACTAGCAAGAGAATAAACTGTTACTGCTTCCTTCCTGTCACAGATGTAGTCACTTAGTTTGCTGCTGCTCCTTTGCAACGAGATGATGATACACTAAAGACTGATGCACAAAATCTACACACTGCTTCAAATATACATTGAATACATTTGGTGTGAAGCCCCGTATCAGCTGATGAACACAAACTTTATACTTACTGATGTTCATGTAAATGTTCACAGCAGGTGTTGGTAATCCATGCACTTTCACAGCAGTGAAATAATTAACTAAAAATACTTTTACATTGTAATCAACAAAGCAGAGTGTCACTAATTCAAAGTATCTCATTAAACTAATGCAGACTCCTTTAACATATCTTTACCTTATGGTGAAATTTTAGTTTGGTCATAAGTTCACTCACAGGAAGTAAACGCGCACAAGTTAAAAAGGAAATGGTGTCCTTCACCAGAAGTGACTGTGAGACAAGATGAAGTCGTCTCTCAGCTCCTCTCTGTTTTCTTACAAGTATTCGTAACTACTGTATTAATAAATAATGAAATTGTTTTGCAGTATTCAGTAACTAAGTAATGTTGCTTAGATTGTCTAACTTTATAATGACAGTCTGTTCAAACTTCAGGAGAAAATCATTTAGTTTCAAAAACAGAATGAAACTCAATGACAAAAATCTGATTAATGACATTTACAAACATTTCACTCTTGTACAAACTGTTTTCAGTGAGATCAGATGAAGTAAATTCAGATGATGAAACTCAGTTACACAGCTACATTTTTGGATAGCAGAGCACAGCTGCAAACACAGCAGCTGTTTATAGACTTGAATGTGTCTATTTACTAGAGGTATACGTATCACAGATCAAATAAAGGAAGCAATACGAGGAAGCAAGGCAGAGTTGCCATGGAAATCTGATTACGTACAGTTACTAGTGAAATACAGTTGTGCTTACTTCCCTCCTTGCTTCATCAGATGGTGGACTCCAGCTCATACTGAGGCGATTTGCCACAGAGTGTCAAGAGGAGGGAATGAGAATCAGCACCTCCAGCTCTGAGCTGTGATTTTCAGCTCAGAAACGATGAAGTTCTAACTGTGGTTTAGGGATGAGTTGTGGCCCAAAACACGGGCGAGTGTGGAGTGAGAGATTGGCAGCAGGATTGTGTGATACTGGATGATATACAGTGATGGACAATTTGGACACATATTTAAATATTATAAGAGATATTATTATAAAAGAGCTGTCATGAAAAAAAATGACCTAAAACTCATTTTGAACCTTTTAAAAAGATGATTAAAAACATTTACAATAAAATTTGAATATTTATAAGAAATCAAACAAAATGACAGGAGAAAGAGTATGTACAGTTAGTTACACTGCAGGATTAACCTGTTCCTGGACTAGTTCTTTTAAACAGTCATACAAGACATCTGATATTTGCCTGAATAGGAAGTCTCGCAGTGTCACTTCACATGACATGGACGAAGTGCTGCACTTTTGGAAAGTGGAGAATCACACAGGCTGATCTGCAGGTGGTTCTTGTGAAGTCTTGTTTTTTTGTTTTTTGTTTTTTTTCCATTAAATGGATTTTTGTGGCTGGGTCAATCAACCACTAAGATGACACTAAGAACCCAAATTAACAGTATTTCTGTCCTGCCTGGAAAGGCAGGACTCAGTGTCTTTAGTGACACACAAAACTCACACCATGCATAGACATCCACTGCTGAGTTAGTCTGCAAGGTGGCTCTTACTATATGTTAGTTAAAACTCTGTGCTCTGGACCATATACCATATGCTCAATAGTGCAATGGCGCTCTCTCACCACAAGGGGGATCTCCCACACAGTTGACAGCCTTTCCAACAATTTCATTGATACATACATATGAAATGAAAATACACATTTGTGCTAAAAGTTCTATGTCCTATTTTACTATTTGTACATGTTTACTTTTATGGCTAAAAGTCTAGATTTTGCCATTTGGACTTTTTTTCTTTTGTTGTTGTTTTTTTGTTAATTTAACTCTGTTTTGCAAGTCTGACACATTTATTCAGCATGTAACAGCTACAAAAAACGGATCTATGGTATATATTTGAAAGAAATATAAACTCAGGCAATCAGGATCATTGCTTTGAATTCAAAATCTCCTTTTCACTAAAAGTGACTTCAAGTTTTTAAAAGACTTTAAAGAGAAAAAAAAACAGCACTGCTGTTAAGATTTTAGAGCTGAGGCTGAATTTAGATTGACATTATTGTAGTCAGAGCTCTCCTCTGGGTCACCACGTCGTCCTGTTGAGGTGATCAAATGAAAGCATTTCAAAACAAACTCCCTCTATTTTGTCCACAAATGCCTTTATTATCAGTGAGAATAATTACCAATGTATATTTTGCATTTCAAATCTCACATTTTGTGCACTCACTTGTCTTGTTAATGACTTCGAGCTGAATCACAGATGTGACATTGGTGTAATCACCTTCTGCTGGACCTGAAATAAGAATCTGATTGACTTTAATGTTAAACACAGTTATTGTATAACCATCCAGCTTCCACAAGCTCTATATTAATGAAAGTGTAAACTTTACCATTTTCAGTGTTTTCACATCTTCTGACTGTCTCATAGACACAACGATCACCTGCAGGTCAGAGAAAATCAGTCACCTCATGTCTGTGATACTAATTTAAACACAAATGTTCTTGCAAATAACATTTATATTAAAATCAGCAGCAGATGTAATAAGTACAGTCTTGTTGCAAATAGCATCAGAATATTTGAAACTACATGAAAAACTAACCATGAAGAAGAGAGGAGTACACTTGCTGCTGATCTTCATCCTGATTGAGCGTCTGGTCGTTAGCAGCACCTTTATTAAAAATTATAAACTATGTTTGTTTTATGTTGTTGTGGATTATACATTCTTGTGAACAGTTCACACTTCATGACCCTATGCTGAATCTGTTTATTTAGTCATTTAAAAAAATAAAATATCTAATATCAGAAGAAGAAAAAAAACAAAGTCTCACCTTTGAACTTTTTGCAGCAATACAACAAGAGCAGGAGGAAAATCAATGTAATTCCAGAAATTAGTCCAACGATCATCAGAACAGGAAACAAAGAGATTTCAGCAGTGGGGACATCTGCTGTAGTTGAGAAACATATTTAAAAAACTGGACTGAATAAGTCTGGACTGGACTATAAGTTATTATAATAACATGAGAGAAACAGATAATACACCAGTGTCTGCCAGGTGCAGCCCACACACTGTCTCTTGTGTAATTTACTCCCCATAGAAACGTTAAGCTTCTGTTTCAAATCATACTTGGGTATTGTATCAGCATTGTGCTCTTTTTTTTCAGTAATGATAATTATACAGTAGATATTGAGCCAGCCTAGAAGTGGATTCATATCGTCATCTATTCTAAATATTGTATAAAGAACATAATGAATACTGACAAATTGAAGAAATCACTCTAATCCAGGGGTGGCCAGCCCGCGGCGCTTTGCCTGGTTTCATGCATTTTTAACAGAGTGGCAGAGTTTTTATTTTTTTGTTGAACGCATTGGCAAGCCATTCTGCCTTATATGTCAGACGTCATTAGGGCATTTGATAGCTTCAAATCTCCAGCTCCACTTCAGCTGACTCCATACTAACATCGACCAGGAATTTTCCAAAGAGACTGAACTTCGCAGGCACGAGTTGGCCACTTTGAAAAGTCAGGCAGAAAAGCAGATACTGTTTTTCCAAAAATTTACGAAGTGCTCAAAGACCGTAACGCTTGCATTGTATCAGCTGGCTTGGAACATTGCACGGCCTAAAAAGCCATACAGTGAAGGGGAGTTCGTTCAAAAATTCCTCAGTGACGTTGTTGAAATCTTGTCTCCTGAAAACGACAAGCTAAGACGCATGTTACCAGACATCCAACTGTCCCGCCACACTGTTGAACACAGAATATCGGACATTAACCTGGCTAATGAATCACAGTTGCACTTTGACCTTCAAGCATGTGGGTATTTTAGCGTCACATTGGATGAGAGTTTGGATATACAAGACAAGCCTCAGTTGTCTTACATCAGATAATGATCTTATCTATCACGTTTTGTATTTCTTGAAGAAAAAAACAATAAACTCACCCCTGTGATCAATCCTGACTGACTGGCTGTCCTCTGTGTAGTAAACTGGGTTTCCTCTTCCTCCTCTGCACCTGTAGAGTCCTTCCTGTGAGACACTGATTTGTCCATTTGAGTGGAAAACTGCATCTTGTGTGGTCAGAGATTCAGAGGAGTTCTCATCTCTGTACCAGTAGTATTTCCATCCAGATGATGATGATGAGTTCACAGAGCAGGTCAGTGGCACACTGCCCCCTACTGGTATGTCTCTCATACCAGAAGTTACTTGGGCCTTTGGTTGATCTGCTGTTGAATTTAATCAAAGGGAGAAAGAAAATTAAGCCTGTGTGTGGGGTAAATATATACCACACACAGGCTGGGATCACACCACCCTGATATTATCTGCATATCTCTGTTGTATACATACTCTTCTGTGTCCAACAATACAAATGAAGGACAAACCAAATGTAAATGGTATGAGTACTCTTACAGAGACCTGTGATGCATTTTATTCTTTTAGTCGTTTTTTTTTTTTTTTTTTAAATTTCATTTTTTTTTTTTTTTTTTTTTATAAAATAATACTTGTGCTTATTCTGTGTGATTCCTTATATTTCCACAACAGAAAACACAGAACTTCTTACTAATGGAAGTTTAAAATTCCC